CCAACTGCCTTTCCATGAGAAATAGAGGCCCAAATATCTAAAAACACATGTGGTTAGCCATAAAACTAAGCCTGTGACCCCTCAACCGTGTACCCATACCCTTGCATAGCGAAGAGAGAAAGATAAAAAAAGCAATAAAAAAACAACAAAAATGAGGTCATGAGAAGAAAGATGAAACAATAAGAGGAAATGATGATGGACAACAATCGCACAGATCTTTCAGCGAAGGGAAGTAAACAGGCACAGGCTGAAAGAGAACTGATTTCACATTTAATTGAAACTGGGCACCAAAAGTGCAAGACAGGACAGACAGTGTTTTTCTTTTTCTTTTTCTTTTTTATCCTCTGTCCTATTCACAGTGGAAAGAGATGCTATAATTGGGCACAATGCAGTTGTGTACAGTACATTAAGAAGAGGAACACTGAGGTTCCCTCACTCAAGCCAGCCAAATTGAGATCCTGTGATGCCTAGTTCAGAGAGGGTAGACAAGAAAGATCACATTTGTTATTAATGTGCCATTGTAGGAACCGGGAAAAATGTTTGCAGATGGTATGGCCTATCACTTGAGCACATAGCTATTTGCACTATATTAAAGTTTACATACTATGTAGGTTACAAATAAAATTGTTGCTCCATGGATTTCCCCCTCAACCTCAGTTTCAAAAAGGGCAGTTTTCTCCTGAAGTCTTAAAGGAAGAAAAACTTGCTCAAGGGAACACTTGACTCAACAATGGCAGCAGGCGCAGTCGCTTACCTTTAAAGACTCCAAGGAGCTCTTCAGGTATACAGCGTGACCTTTCATGATGAAAGTGCAGAAAGTGGTATTTTAACAATATTGTGATGACCTTTCAATACAAAAGGCAGTATAAGAATTGTTCTGAAGCTATCCACTCAATCAAGGGCTCCAAGAGACAGCTGTTATATAGCATTTAGGGAGGGACCTGTCTCCTGTTAGCACTAATAGCTTTAGCTTTTTAAACGTACCTACAAAAGGTGTTGTGCTTATTATTCTTTTTCTTTTCTTTTCTGTCTTTCTTTTTTAATAAAAAATTACTTGTAAAACAAAATCAATTCAAAATAATTATTTATGGTAATATATATCTGTCTATATATCTGACCATATGTTGAGGCTTTGTTTGGAATATCATACAAACATATGCATATATACTGTGCATAGTATGCAGATCTTCTATATAAAAGGAATACAACTATAGCTTACAACATTTGCCAAAGTTTGCAGTATACAACAGAGCAAATTGCACGGAATACTGTATGCCATAATGTGGTCAACTTGACTTTTGTTTCCATAGTGACATGTGAACCAAAAATTAACCAACGCTGTGTCCAAAATCAAATACTTCCCTTCTATATAGTATGCAAAAAACAGTACACCAAAAGACTAGCTTCTCCAGATTTATAGTATTCAAAAAACAGTAGGTGAAAAGTAGTAGTGACCTACTTCAGCCCGGATTCTGAAGTGTGCATTCGATGGACACTTTACTATCCCATGAGGCCACGGACAGGATTTATGACTGACAGTGAAGTGACGCAACTGACGCTGGTACGTCACGTGATAATAAACAACTACCGAATTGCATTCTTACTAGCCATTTTCATACTATACGGAACATGCTTTTTTTAATGGTCGCCAAGTAAGTTCAAAATCAAATGTAGTACCTACTCAGACAGTACGTGATTTCAGACACCCTGCAAGATTTTTTTTTTTTACTTTTATTTGAGTTTTTTTTTTAAATCTGACTCCCAAATAGACTTTTGCCACTAACATGCAAAATGATGCCATATCTTTATGTAACAGAAAATGCTGTCATTTTGAATTAAGCCATAAATTCACTTAAATAATGTTCATCACAGAATACGTACTCTTTCACTTGCTATTTATAGTAGTATACGAGCCCGGTCTCATGAAAATGCGTATAAATAGTACGCCAAATAAAAACTAAAACTCGTGGTATTGATACGCAAAAATGGACTTTGGCGTGCACATGATACGCATGTGTTTGGCGTGCATATAATACGCAGTTTTCGCGTGCATATGATACGAAATTTGTTGGCGTACATATGATACGCAGTTTTCGCGTACATATGATACGCATCTACCCCACTATTGTTTTATATAAATAATTGTTCTAGTCTATACAGTATTTAATGCAATTACATTAGAAGTAACTGTAATTACATCAAAATTAAGAGTAATCCCTTAGTTTCTTTTTCAAGGGAAAAGTAATTAAATGACAGTTACTTGGTAATGCATTACACCCAACACTGATTGTAAAGTAGTTTTCTATTTTGAAAATGAATTCAATATCTGTATAGAATCAATACATTTTGCATCAGTCTAGAAATAAAGGAAGATGATTGAAAAATAGATCTGCAGTGACAACTGTGTGGATTCAGTTGGGAATATTCAGGCATGGCAAAAGACAGGTCAGAAGATTTTGGATGAGTTTTAAAGGTGATATGGCATAAAAGTCTCCCCTGAAGCAGGCAAAACATCACGGGGTGCTGGAAGAGAGGCACTAGAGCAAGTGAAGACATGACACATTCTAAAGTCATCGACTGCACTGCATTCACAGAGAAGCCGCAGCAATGTGGTATGTTTTCTGGCTCCTTTGATCTACTTCCAGGATCCGCAAGCAATGCAAACATGCACACTTTACTTTATTTAGCGCTAGTTCAATGTCTTTAAAATGTGCTGATTTCAAAATAAAGAGAAAGGGCAAGAAAAAGAATAAGCTGTGGGTCGGGAAAAACATTTAGAAATGGCTGATCAACTACAAAAAACAAAGACAACCATAGCTTATTGGGCAAAGGCTCAAAGCAGTGCACCCAGAATATGGGTGGATGTAATCATAACCTGGTCTTAGCATCTCCACCATTACCACACCCTGCTGTTCCTTTTAGAGACACAAGATGAGAATATTTGTGCCCTCACAGGATTGCTGCCTGGCTCCATACTTCTGTCTGTCTCTCTCGCTCTTTCTTTTCGTCTTCCTGCTGCAATTCTTTGCCTTCAGAAACCATTAGTGCCCATTCAAAATAAACATCAAGGGAGTGCTTTGATGTGTCTCTTGGCAATAGCCCATGTCTCAGTCTCTGTCGCACTCTTTTCCTTCTTTTTTCTTCCTCATTTATCCTTTAACCCTCCTCCCACACACACACCCTTCTATTTCTCCCGCGTTTCACAGCCGAGCGTTTTTACCTGGCAAATAAATCAACAGAGACCCATTTTTTTTTTATTTGGCAGAACCGGTTTGAAGGTCCCTCTCTTAAGTGTAACAAAAGTGAGATAGCACAATAGCCCTGGCCTGCCATGCAAGCTAATGTTGGCTGGGAAGTGAACTATGGCAGCTTTAGCGGCCTCTTTCTCTCCCTTTCACACACACAGAAGCTGGTTAAAGCCACCAGAGTAGAGCTTAATGCCAATTACCACCCCACACAATGAAGTGAATGAAACAGTTAGCGCTCCTCAGAGCGAGCCCCTGGCACACACCGCCTGATATGGTTACTGTGCTGCCTCCCACGTGCTACGCTTTGTGCCATGGGAAACGAGAGCACTGATATCATCAATCTAACATTGCGACATTGTCTAAATGACTTGAAGTCAGCCAATGTTAAACTCGCCCTCAGGCGCCAGATGGCACCTGCGATTTCCACCAAGGTTGTTACGGGTGCATTTAGGTGGGAAGGTCATGGCTGTTCCTAGAAGAGCTTCCTAGATGGTTTCACGATCAAAGCACAGGAAACTTTAAAATAGAGCTTGCTGGAATGAAGGACAATTAGGAAAAGGGAAGTGACAAGTCAAGGGTCAGGCGTGCTCTGATCTCTGCCAGGCTGTATTTGGCATTCCACGCAAAGAAAAAACAGTCGGCGGATGCATCCGCGCAAGACATGCCGAGAACACTTAGCACTCCAACTTATCTCGGAGCTCATACGTGCAGGCAAAAAGGACTCTAGTGGCCAAATTACTGCTGCATTTATTAATCTTCTACGAGGGAGCAAATTAAAGGCTGATAATGAGAACAAATATGGCTGGGATTTCTCACCGGGGTCTGAAGTGCTTCATTATGCCACAGCATTGTCTCTGAGCATGCTGGGCCAGTGGTGCTTCCAGGGGCATTCTAATCCTCCAATTAGCCCCAAGAAAAACCAGCTGCCCAGGCCCTGGCAAAGCTCACGTCTCCCAGGGCAGAGGTAAAGGCCAGGGCCCGGTCCAAGTGTGGAGAGGCACTCAAGAAAAGCATGTCACCATTAAAACCTCCTCCCTCCACTTTATGGTGAACACTTGAAATACTGAAATAAGGCAGCCAGATAAAACTATTCCCACATAGAACTCTGGCAACAGATTACGCTCTCTGCCAAAATGGCGACAAAAACAACCTGATGCCTGAATCCCCCTCCCTCCTAATGGGCCGAGCTGAAGCTTGAGAAACACACTTGAGGAAGCAATAGGGGTTGTTCTGGGAAAGGCCTTCACCTTGGAGTTGGTTTCTCATGGAAGGAGCTACAGGGGGTGAGATTTTAATTAAGCATGGAGGTGCTGGGGCAGGGCTGGAGGGAGCTGACGGGGGGAATGATCCATGAACAAAGCCTTCTATGGTGTACAAACAGCCACAGAGTTACCCCCCAACTGGCAGGAACCCCACCTGCACTTTAATAGATGGGATTAATGGCCAATCAGGAAGCCTCTTTATGACATCCTCCATCCTCATTCCTGTTAGAATGGCACGAATAAGAGGAGAGTGATGAAAGACACCCTCAGATACCCCAAACTGGTCTCAGAGCAGTCTAATAAAATGAAGTCTGAGATCAGCTGGTAGAGTGAGGCCCTCATTTTGGGTTTGATTCCCAGGGAAAACACATACAGTACTGACCAATGTATACCTTAATTGCTCAAATGAAAACGAGTCAAAGGCCAAAAATCACTTCCAGCCAAACACAAATGCACAGTAACCACACAAACATACTAGTGTTCATTTAAAAAATATAACTTTTAATAAAGGCTACATCTCTTCATAATTACAATAATTAAAGTACCAAGTCGTCTTTAAAATGAAGCTCTATATAATGCATAATTTACATTTTAGTGAAACACAACAAAATTGGGGGAGGAAAACACTGAAACGTAATGTCATGATTACAAGATATCCAAAGCATAAAAAATTATTTTAAACATAAACCCCTCAGAAAAGCAAGGGAATATTCACACCCTGAAACAGGGCAGCACACAGCATGGTATCCATGTAGGCACAGGTAATATATAATACACTAGCGATGGCATGTTCTCATTCACTCATGCCAGTGCATTCCGAGATTTTGCCCTGGAGCTTTGCGGTTTTAAATCAGCTACACCAGGTCTTTTCATTCAACATTTACACAGGACACTAACCCCTTCCATGCACACCCTCTGATCTCCCAGACAGTGTTGAAATTCAGATTACCATTTTTTTTTTTTTTTAATAGTATGACTTCCTATTACTTAGTTTTTACTTAAGAGTCTTGGAACAGGTTCCAGGACAAGGCTATTGGTTCCTGTGCAATGTCTGGACATTAAACCAAAGGCACTAAAGATGCAACACATCATCAGCTGTTGGCTGGGCAATAAAGGTTGAAATATCCACCCAATCAGCAGAGAGGTTTGGAGAGGCGTGCTGGTCTGAAGCACATCTCGTTCTCATTGGCCAGAAGAGAAGATTCCTGGTACAGTCTGTTGCGTTAAGGTCGCGTGACTCTAGACATCCGTCCATGCATGTATAACATTGAAAATCTCCCAATCAAATAAGCAGCTTGTCCATAATCTGAACACAGATATGAGGGGAATGACAGTTTAATAAATAGCAATAAAGTCTTTAACTTTTGACAGAAGCATATTATAACTTTGTGTACATATGAGCACCTCAGTATACACATGCACACGTTCTCGCATCCAACACACATATACACATCTACAGTTATCACAAATGCTGGTCAGCAGTCCATGCTATGGTAACACACCAACGTTGGCGTCTTGTAGTCCAAACAAACAAGTGGATGATTGCGTCTTCATTGGTCATAACATCTCTCTTAGCGTTCCAAATCAAAGGAACAATTTCTTATGATGCATTGCTGGTTCAGATCCCTCTGTACTTCATTGGCTAGTATTCCTTCAATAGCTTGGTGAGGCAAACGTCTAAACTTTTTTTAGCTGCATAAAACGTCCATTTTCCGCTCGTTGACTTAGTCTTGAGTGCTGGGTAAGTCTGCTGTCATGTTTATTTAGTCCATTCTCTCCACTTTGCCAAGGATTTTGCCCTCATATATGGGCAGAACTGTGCAGTCGTCCCAGACCTCCTCAAACACAGCACCGCACTCAAACTCATCACTGGCCTTTTTGAAGTAGTACCTGAAAGAGAGCACATGTAGGGTCAACAAACTGTTGATGACATTCATAAATGTATAGGTCTATAGGTAAAATGGTATTCTTTCGTTCCAGAAAACAACAATTTTGTTTTACAAGCATATGAAATGCTTAAAGACCCCATGGAACTGTCACAGAGACCCTTCACAATCCAGTCTGAATACCCTGTTTCAATAGGAAACGCATCACATTATAGAAGTAAAATGTTTCAAACACCATTTCATTTTGACTTTAAATACCCGTATCACATACTAGTGCTATACCATGTTGTACTCAGCTATATGGGGACAAAGAGGTGCTTTAGCCTAAATTAGAGGGTCTGTTAAACACTACCACCCATCCACCATCAGGCATCTGGTGTCTAATTGGGAGCTCTGAGCAAATAATGGAGATCTTTCACAAGGGCTGACATTTTTGGGTGCCATAGAGTCTACACTACACTTTTTTCATTACCACATTGTGATAGGACGAGTCTGAGCTTAATCTAGTCTTTGACCTTGATGGACGACCTCTCTGCCTCATTTCTATCTTTCGATTGGTCTTTTTCCTTTTACCTCTGTGGCACTAATGATCTCCACCTCCTCCAAAAGGAAGAGAAAACAGTGGGAGGGGAGGGAGTGGTGAGGTCTGCCTCAGTAATTGGCTTTGTAATGGAAAATGCCCCCTCTTACTAACTTGCGCTGCGGTGCATGCTAGGTTTTTACAAGCAAACACCACCAAGTCATAGAAACAGCACACATAAAACACACACAGGAATAACCATGACTCAAAACAACAACCGACGAGAACAAAGTTTCTTTTCTTCTTTCAATATGTCGGAAACAATCCATTGTTCTCCCACTACCCAAACCCAACTTCATAAATGAGGGACAAACTCGAATACTGTGACATGGCACATAATTACATCCTCATTTCTGGAGAATAAACTATATCCTCCTCCGCAAAATCTTCAAAAGGGAAGCATGGCTCTTATTTGTTGGGAAAAAAAAGAGAGAGGGAGAAGAAGAAAGAAAAAGAGAAAGAAGTCTTTCCATTGGAACATGTTTTATATGGCAAGATTTTCTCTTCGCAACATCTGGCACCAATATTGTCTGGCAACTCTGGCAGTACTGTTCTTTGTTGAATATCTGCCATGTTGAAATGACCCAACTACACACATTTTCTGCGATTAAAACCATCAGCTTTGAATTCTCTTTTCCTTGAAAATGCGCATGGTGAGAGAGGGGTCCCTAACACGGGGACTTTTTGACAATATTTATGTAAAATGCAAACAACAACCTATTTGATAAAATAAAGTTATCAATATGGACAACAATGCAACCACACGGGGCATTACAGATTGTGGTCAGTGGGCAGTTGAAAGCTATGATCGGCGTAGTTACCAATGAAAAATTACTCAACTCTTCTGGTTTGCTTAAAATGGGCTTTTATGGAGTCAACATGCACAAGGAAAACCACTGGCGGCCATCTGACAATGCCCCATTCAAATAAAAAGGCCAACACAAAGAGAGGCTTTGATATAAATGAGAAATAATCATTAAAAAAACTGATAGTCTTATGTAAACACACACAAATGTATGAGAGCAACGTAGCTTGATACAATTGTTGAAAAATGTGTGCAAGTCTTTGTGCATCAAATGAAAGGCCTGAGCTTCAAAGAGCTTCTTATTAAATGTGCCTTAAGATGAAATCAATACCAGATGTGACCAAACGGCTACAGTTAAAATTCCCTCATTCTTTCTTTCTCTGTGCAGCCACCCCTCTCTCTTTCCTGTCGTCTTAACTCCATACTTGCTGCTAATGTAAATAACTTATAGTAAACATCGCAGCCTTGCAGAGACCAACACAACCAGTGTAAAACCACATCAAAAAATACCTTGCAAGAATATTTTTTGAATTAGCTAATTGCAAAACTATTATATTCAAGTCTTCAGCAGCCTTAATATAAACTCTCAAAAAGAAGTTCACTCGTCAGAATTGAGAACATACCTGTAGTTTCCTTTTTTCCGCAGTTGCTCCTTGAAGTGTCCGAGTGTGAGGCTGTGTGTTTTCATCATCCGGCGGTACGGGATTTCCTCACCGCAAAAGAAGTATGTGACCACTGTCTCCGAGCCCAAACTACTGTGGGAACCTGACATCTTCTTGAGATCTTTCGGTCTGTGAAGACACAAACACACATGAGCACAAACGTAGATCACAAAAAGATCATCACAGCAGAGGATAATATTAGCTAGGCCTTAAAGACCACACTATTGTAGATGGCATGCACAACACATTGAAAATCTGTAATGACACAACAGGAAATATTTAGGGTGGGGCTTGTTTTTATCCATTAGGATTAGATTTGGTGGAAACATGTTAGGATGTTATTAGTGTTTCCTTAAACAACTATCACTATTACCATTACAGGTCATGGAACTCATGAATAGGTTAATATACAGGTGCATCTCAATAAATTAGAATGTCGTGGAAAAGTTCATTTAATTCAGTAATTCAACTCAAATACAAATGCAGTGCTTTGAGTTTAACAAATGCTGTCAGAGATTAAGTGAGGAGACAAAAGGTCAAGATTTATCCACTGGCCCTTTTCTCCACTTTGTAGTGCTACTTCAGAAAGCCAACCCAGTCTTAGAAATGAAAAAGAGTTTTGCCATCAGGTGGCCAATGCTCCACACTTCCAATACTGGCCAGGGCCAGAAACCAAGAGAGAGAACAACCAGGAGTTCCTCAAAGGAAGAAAAGGACTAATGGCTGCAAAGCATCCGACGACTGCCACGTTACATGCATACGTGTGTCATTCATCAATGAAAAGTGAATTAAAACGTGCAAGAGGATGACTATCAGGAGTGATACATACTCGTCCGTTTGAAGTGCTGAACTGCCATTCTGTACAGGCACTGGGTGACTCTTGTCTCTCTGAAGGCTTGATGTTGAATGTCTGTGAATTGGAACCCATACGTCAATACAGAAATCAATCGAGAGTTTTTAGCAAGGACTGGCATTCAGGGTCGTAAAGTCTGGAGTTTGTACCTCTGTTTAGAGGGTTTGGAAACTTCTTCCAGACGTCTGCGGGCCTCTTCCAGCTGTGCTAGGGTGTTGGGAGGGGGTAGAGGTGGCATGGCAGGGTCCTGAACAAAGGGGTGTGCAGGTTGGTGGGCACGGAGATGCGCACTGCTTCCGCCACCTCCCCAGGTGTGTGTGCGTGTGGGTTCCAAACAGTGCGACTTCTTTACATTTTGAGTGCTGCAAGAACAGACAGTTTGACCATGTAAGTACAATGTAAGCACAAACGCTCATAGGATTCAAGGTGGGCAAACGCTTGTGCAACCAAGGTGGGCAACCACTGGTAGTGCAAACGCACATGCACAAGAATTTTCAAAGAACGAAGATTACAACATAGAGATGACCACAGAGTTGCGAGACAGACCTGTGGGGCTTGTGCTTGGTCTGTCGGTCGCTCTCCAGGATCCACTGCCATACGTTTTGAGAGCGGTCTGTACTGTCAGCTGGCAGCTGAAGGAGACTGCTCTCCAACCCTTCTGTGTTCACCTCCTCTCCAGATTTACACAGACGCTTAGATAAAGAGCTGGAATGCCTAGCAGCAGGAAAAGGAATAAAAACTGAAGTTGAAAAAAAAGTTTTATAAAAACAACCATCTATAGACTGCAGGATGCAACAATTAAAAAGCAATGAGGAGCAACAAAAGAAAAACGTACCCAAAGGCCACTTCTGCAGGGCTGCCACACTGGTCTCTGCCCAGACTCCGGCTGCGGTTGTAGGGGGCAGAGCAGCTTTCTGAAGCTCCATGGCACAGGCACTGCACCCGCTGGGTCGCCTCCGCCTCGATCTGCTCCTTGCTTTTGGGCTCAGCATGGTGATGGATGTAGTGGTGATATATGTGCTTGGTTGACTGTCTGGAGATCAAGGTCTTGGATGGCACGTATCCGTTCCCAGAGCCAGACTGCGACCTGGTGCCAGGACCTCCCCGAGGCAGGGGGCGCTGTTCAGGAGATCGGGAGCGTGGGGAATGCCGAAGCATTCCTGGAGACTGACAGCCAGGGGTCTTGAGAACTCGGGAAAGGTGCTCGTCCAGGATGGCCTGGGGGTCCTCTTCACAAGAGCCAGGAGGGAGCAAAGGCAGAGAGTGGCATGCACTGCTTCCAGACACCTCAGATTCATCCTTCTCCTCCTCCTGAACACACACAAGAATGCAATGTTACAAAGAAATTCTTGCAAACAGCCTGTTTACCCAAAATGTTCTGTGAATGTTGTGTATGTAAATGTATGTTTCTCTGAATTCTTCAATAGAAGAAGTAAAATGTTCGATTTGAATGAGTGACAACATTTTCTGAGACTTCCAGTAATACCTCCTGAATCTGCTGAAGTCTCTCCTCTAGGGAGCTCATGGTTTCCTGTTCCCGCTTCAGACGGTCCAGTCTGGCTATCAGCTGTGCCGCAAAGGCTGCTGGCTCCACGGGAGTCATCTCCTTAGGTGGCCGCCGCGTCCTCTGCACAACCAGAGAGAGATACAGATTAGCGAGAAGACCAGACAGGACAGGATGGGTTGATTTCTACAGCTGCCCTCCCCGCATAAGTCTACTGCCCATACAACACACACACACACAAACATGCCCCACACCACTGGCATGGGCCGCTGCCGGTATGAGCAGTTGGTCACGCTCTAAGGAGCCTCGGCTTGTTCCCTCTGTAGTGCAACCAAGCCATCAGCCCGGCCTGTGAAGTCAGGCAGCTTCAAAGAGGCCTCGTCAAATATCAAACGCTCACCAGGGGCGGCAGGGACACTGGCTTTACATCTAGCAATAAAAGTCACATATCGACAGGGGGAAAAAGGAGGGAGGCAAAAGAAAAAAGGAAAGAGAGGGGGATTAAAAGAAGAGAAAGTAAGATGGCGAGATGTGTGCCGCCACTAGAGGAGTCAAGCAGTGGGAGATCAGAAGCACAGAGGTAATTTATTCCCCCCCCCAACGACAGCAGGCACCTTTGAGCTACAGTAGCCACATTATCCTCCTTCCCCATGTGTGCATCTCACACGAGGATTTTCTATCGCTTTCTTCTTATTTTTATTATTATTTTGTGCCCTGCCTTTCTTGATTTGGCTTCCTCTTTCCATCTCTTTCTAAAGATGATGAAGAGAGAGACGAAAGAGAGAAGAAAGCAAAACGAGCTGCTGGTGAGACTTGCAGCAGCTCCAGGCCCATGCTGCCTAAAAGTAGCATCCTGGGACAGGCAGCCAGTCATTGCCAAATCAGAAGGGAAATATTACAGGCTAGAAATAAAAGGAGAGAGGGCGGGAGGCAAGGAGATAGAAAGAAAGAGAGAGCAGACACAGCAAAGGGAAAGTCTTTCCAATGTAGAATTTAAAATTCTTAAGAGTAAGAAAGCATAAGGAGGTATAGGGAGGGTGGATACAGGTTTGTTTGACTTGCTTAACAAGTTGTCTTTCCAAACTCTCTCTCCAAACACTAACCTCTCTTTTTCTACTTTGAGGGAGGCAGAGAAAAAACGAGGGAGAGGGGGATGCAGGGTGCTGCTGGAGGAATAAAAAGGGTGCAGCTCGGTTGGAAGTTGTCACTTCCCTTGAAGTCAGCCCCATTCATCTGCTGATCAAAGTGCTCTCAAAGAGAGACAGTTGATTTTGGTGCCCCGGGATAAAACAGACTCATTTAGTGCGGTGTGACAGTTTATTAAGAGTCATTATCCGAGAAAGAGCACAACAACACGAACGGTCCACAACCGTAAGTGGGTAACGCTTTTTAATTGGGGGCGATGTTGGAGTTGTTTGTGTGTAATTCAGAAGAATGGCGAGGACACTTACAGGGAACGGAGGTAGAGACACTTGGCCATTCATCCTCATGTTGCGCTGCATCTCTCGTTGTAATTGTTTTTTACTTCCCAGCTTGTACGGAGGGATGGCATCTCTGTCAGGACACACAGAGAACATTGAAGGTTATTTACTCCCCAAACTCAAACACAATAGTCAAGACACATACTGCACATAGCATCCATAGACACTCAAATCCTGTAGTCATACAGATCAACACGCAGTGTGTTGTTGAAATAATGGCCCAGAAAATGATGCATTCTCACCCTGTGCAAACTAAAACTGCAAGCCCCATGACTTTCCTTTCAATATCATCCAAAACCCAAAGTTCTTCATCTTCCTCCATGTTAGCCGTGAGCATTCCAGAGTGCTGGTAACAGCAAGATCTTTCTCTGCTCTCTTTCCCAGCACAGACGCCATGGGGCTCGCTCAAACCCAAAGGGCAATCAAGCTTTGCCACCATTATGGCATCCATATGATGTTACCAATTACAATAAAAGATGGCTTGTGTTTCCATAAACACTCCTAATCCATCTAATCCAAGGCAGAACGTTTGTAAACCTGCACCTCTTCAATCTCACCCTTTCTTGCCTCTAAAGCCAGACATCTTTCTCATCCTCCGCTTGGCTTTTTCTTTTTCTTTTGTTTTTAAAGCCAGGCCAGTTTCCTTTGCTCTGTTCTGACTCTGAAGTGTATGACCTAGCCCAAATGCAGTTTCCAGCACGTCTTTGAAAGCTCACAGTCATGCGCATAAAGCCGTCGCTCCAATCTTCATTTGGCAAGCGCTCGGCAGTCAGCCTCTGATCTTGCGCACATCAAAAGGCTGGTTTGTAAGATAAGGTAATGTTTGAAGTCGGGCGCAGCGGCATTCCCTAGCGTCCAAGTAAATCCATAAATAAGATATAAGCAAAATTTCCCCCACTTCTCCTCCCCTCCCTCGCTCCTCCCTCCCTTTATCTGGAATTCAGATTCTGATTTAGCGCCGTGCCTTTTAATTCAAATAAAAACACAGCTAATTCCAATCAAATCAGCCTCCAAATAAATAACACAGAGGCTGTTTTTCCCATAGCCTATACTACTTCAAAGTGGCGCAAATACAAACAAAAAATAAAATAAGAAATGCAATGGTTAAATATGCGTAAAATCACTGGACAGGAGCATGCAGATAATTCTTTTTTTTTTCCCAGAACAAGTAAACGTTGATTGACTCACTAATTTAAAATGAATGTTGTAACCTTGTGAGTACTATGCTGCGGTTTTAACTATTAAAGAAATACTAAGATGATTTGAAGACAGGTCACTCAAAAAGCTGTTGCACATTTTGTTAAAAAAAAAAAAAAAAGCATGGCTGTGCCTATCAAAATATTAATCTTTGGTTCAATCAGCCCACTGTCCACATACACTCACTGTGTTTGGAGCTTTGGGGTGTCACAGGCTGGCTGTGCTTTATGGGAATCTCCTATTCACTTGTGCAAGTAATTTTCAAAGCAGCCAGCCACCCTCTTATCCCTCTAAGCTCCCGGGGCCTAACAATGGGCTGAAAGCGATTCAGTTAAGCCTTTCATCCAGCATGCACTTTATTTCTCACTCTCTACACTTAGCTATGCACTCGCACAATTGCCTCTGCCGCAAACACAGAGGGGGGAGGGCTGCTTTCAGGCAGAGGTGGGGTTGAATGGGTGGTGTACATGAGTGTCTGGGGGATGGGGTCCCAAACACCCTAATCCCAGGTGACCTGCTCTTGTGCTCCAGAAATGGCTAACCTCTCAAAGGCCTAGCTGACACCGGATCCCCCTCGTTCCAAACCTCCATGCGAGTTGAGATTCCTTTAATTTACTGCCAAAGCACCTCAATGAGTGTCTTATAGTCCACATGGTGAGTTAACCCCCATCCCCTTTTTCCAGGGACAATGGGGAAACCAATAAATAATGACTTTGTCTTCGGTGATTAAGTTGTGCAAAATTTAAAAAGAAAGCCACTGAAGATCAAAGCTTTATAGGGAAAGAGCATGGGCAAAAGAGGAGGACAAACTGGCCAGTGTCATTTCCTGTTAAGGAATTTGCAAACATTAGCTTCAATTAGCGCATAGAGGAAGCACATTATCTGAGGGCTCTTCTCTTGGGTCCACTCCTTTCTCATAGCTCATCCCCACAAGACTCCAGCAACGCATTAAAAACATCTCTAACACATTTAAAAGCCAATGTATCTGTACCATCTCATTATCAGCCACAAATGACTAAATAATTAAACCTCAATGTCTGCTAACAGCCAGAGAAAGATGTTAGCCTTTGACCACAGTCTAGAGTTACACTAAACTATACATTTTTCAAGATATAATTTTTAGCCATCATCTATTCATTCCGATTTGCCTATGATGCCCAACAGTGCCATCTAGGTAGGCAGTTTACTATGTTAAGAAACAGGAAAATATAGAAATATAGAGGGTTCCAGAAAGACACTTACACACTACTGTCCGTCATGGACATCGAGTCATCTGTCAGGGCATCACTGGAGACCTCGCTGTCGTTGGCACTGGTGGCAGGGGCAAAACTATAACCGGACGCAACACGATAGGGGTTTCCAGGGTCGCTGCGTCTGTAGGACCTACAGGAACAACAAACAATCTTGGTTTTAGTTTAAAGAGTGGTACAGTGGTTAAATTTCAAGGCTGGTAACTGGAAGGTTGCTTGGTTGATTCATGAACTCACAATTGAGGCATTTGCAAGACACTAGATTACTCAAAGGGAACTGAACTTGGAAGGCCCGAACGTGTATCACTTTCCGAAATGTGTTCCGCTGCATTCTAAGCTTTGCCACAACGGAACTACAGCGTGCAATAGCGTAAACTGACTCAATCACTCCGTTTTCTCTTTCAGGTAAACTAGTGGCATGGCAGAGCAACAGTTTAAAAAGGAACTTAGAAACAGTGGCAACTTCACTAACTTTTGCCATCTCAAAGTTGACGCCTCCAGTTAACGGGACAGACATCTGACGGTAACTTGTTTGCCATCTTGACTACTGAGGTTTGTTACCACCACAGTAATGCAAAAGAGTATGTCAAGTATGAACAACGAGACCACACATATGTACTTGCCTAGACTGTGATTCTGTCCCTAACGATATGGATAAAAACATCAGCTAAATGATAAAAGAAAAGAAAAATTGTTACAATATCATCCAAATTTTGAGAGCAAAAGGGGGAAAATATCACATTGCAAATGCAAACTGCTTCTAACATGGCTTCTCTTATGTTTGTGAAAAGGGTCCAGCTATTGGACCCCCCCCAGCCAGAGGGTTGATCAGGGGGAAAGTTAAGTGAGCAGCACATCTGTGTGAATTGCCAATGCCACTTCCCCTCAGTGGAGCATATCTGGGGTCTTTTGTCTGGGCCACGCACTCTGTTCCTCACTTTACCTCCCCCTTCCAAACTTTCCCGTTTCATGTCATTCGTCCTCTTGTGCTCTTTCCTCTGCTAAGGGCACCTCCTCCACATACCCACCCAGGCCACCCCTCCCTCCGATCTCTCCCTCTCCATACCCCTCTCTCCTGCTGTGACACATTCCTGCTTCACTGGAAGAGGAGGAGGAGGTAGAGAACCTGAGCCGGGCAGAAAGGGAGAGAGAGGGACAGAGAGAAAGAAAGAACATGAGAGAGCGGAAAGAAAGAAGAGAAGAGGGGGGGGCCTCCTCTTTATGAGAATGCCTACTGCCAGCAGCTCTGTGAGGGGAGACCCAGCAGGACTATAGCCTACGGCCCCAACTCAAACCTGACCTTTGGAAGCTCTCGCTCAGAGTCAGGTATTTAGCACAGCTGGGTTCACATTCTTCCCTCGCTCACCCCCTCATTCATGCTTTCTTTCATGAGGTGCCTCGCCCCCCTCTGTCCTTCTTTTCCGCTTGCTCAAAAAGTGTGCTTATTCTCCATCCGTCGGGGTTTTTTCCTAGATAAAAGTGCGAAGAGAGGCAGTTGAAATCAGAGGAGAACGGTGGTAAATAAGAAACGGTGGAGATGAAGGCCACGGTCTCTGTGACTCACAGAGGAACCGCTGCTGCGTGTTGTTTTGTGAATAACTCGATTCAGAAACACAGAAAGGGAGAGAAATAAGTTCCACATGCTTCAGATGAACAAAAAGAGTGCCCCGAGAGAGAGAGGGAAAACAGACTGCTCAAGGAGCATTCATCGAAAAGAAATCAGGGAATAACATCAAAAAAGAGACTTTGCTTACTCTCATCTGGTTCTTAATCATCTCCTACATAAACAACCCGACAAAGATAAGCAGAGATGAAACATTCTGTCACCTTCTTCAAGATCACCCTCCCAACGGGCCGTCTTTGAGACAGATAAACATTTGTCTGGCACCACACCTTGATGGGTCACACAAGTTGTGTGACGGGTGCTAATTCATCAAACCAGATTTCCCCTGGTGTTTTGTTAAACCCCGACAATATACTTTTTTTGAACAACCAAACCAACAGCTCGTCAAGACATCTGAAGGTGTCAAACATTACAAAGTACAGTAACAGAGCTGGTCTAAACACAGACTGTTTCAATCAAAATAAGCAAAATCTTGTGAGCAATTTGATGAAGTACTTTGTTTTGTTAATAGCAAAAGCAAAAAAAGTTTCACTTTTGGATTAGTGACATTTCTGATGTTTGCCACTTCTTTTATCCGTTTGACGGCTAAAACCAATTTTGCATTGTGAACTAGCCTTGATCCTTGAAGATGATCCTCTAACGGCAGAAGAATTTCAAAGCAGAGGAAACTGTGTAGAGCCAGCAGAGGGCCTCGTGCTAGACAATATTTACATGAAAGGAAGAGCTGCTTTATTGATGTTTTTTTCCCCTTCTCTCTCTCTGCGTAATGCAAGCCAGGTGAGAGCAAACGGCCCCAAACTTGGAAGAAAGGGCCTCTCATGTTTAATGCAAGAACTCAAGAGCAATAGCTACACAAATCCAAGTAATAATACACCTGAAAACGCATTAGTAATTTATTAATTTGTCATTCCTCTGATGAATTTATCCAGAATGACTTGCTTCACACACAAACAAAGAATTCTTCTGGAGTAACCTTAGATTTCGTGTCTTGCTCAAGGACAGAAACAGTGATATCCTAAAGTTCAATCAATCTTTGTGATGCTTCAACCTACAACTTTCCAGCTACCACACTAGATCTTTAATCACTAGGCTACAACCCATAGGGTGCCTGATACATGAAGCAGTATGAAGCATGCAGCAGTAGGAACTTTGTTACTTTATGGTGGCAGCATACAGTAGTTAAGTAAGTGAAAAAGAATTGTTGGGATGTCTCACCTGTAGCCTTTCTCCAATGCCTCCACTGCACGAAGGGATGGAGGTGACCGTAACGCTTTGGCAGACAGTCCCACGACAGTGGCCAAAGCTTTGGCTTTAAAGTCATTACAACTCCATTCTTCCTCTTCATTTAGAGTCGGCAAGTATCCGCACACCAGCTTTAGACCTCCTAGTCCGTTGGGATTCATATGACTGCCGTTCTCGCACCCAGTTCTGACATACTCAAGGTATATGTCTGAGGTCAAGAACATCTGATAGGCGTTCTCCTCCATAGCAGTCTGGATCTCCATTTGAGCCTGATCAAACATTGCAGAGTCAATCTGCTGACGCTTAATATTATCCCTAATAAAGGTCTTAGTAGCAGGTTTAAGCTGCTTGGCCACAACGCTGTTGTTCTCAATATACCGCTTGTAAATGGCTTTGGCAACTCTGTGTGTTTTGGTATCCTTGAGGTCCATTTGCCTGAAACCATTGCAGGCGAACCAGAAATCTAAAGTGTCCTCGCATTTCTCGCGTTCAAGATATGCCCGGAAAAGTTGAGCACCGTCCTGATCCCCAAGAAGGAAATGCAAAGATTTGGTCCACCGGGCAAGAGGGGAGTCCGGGGATGCACTGCCCTCAGGTTCCCCAAGTCCATCGTCATCCCTCCTTGCTGTGGAACAGCGAAGATCAGCCATAATGGTTTTCACAGGATCCTTCGGTCTCATCATGGCCAGTTTGCTGGGATGGTGGCATGTTGTCTCACCCTCTTCCCCTGGGACCGGTGGACGTGGGTCATCTTCTCTGAAGCTACTGACCATAGGATCTGTTAGTGTCCTATTCATGGCTCCTGCAGCTCCAGCAGCAAAGCCTTCAGTGTGAAGCTCAGCTGTAAGCTCCTCTCTCTCTTAAATCAGCAGGGGAGCTTCTCTCTGAAACACAAAGTATTGATCTCATCAAAACCAGATCCGCCCCAAAACTTCAAAAGAGTCACTTCAGACACGTATAGCTCTACATTGCGCGCGCTTGCGGTGTACAATCGGCTTTGTGGAATGCAATCTAAGCGACCCGGTTTATATTCAACGTAGGCACTATTAGATTTTTAAAACTTTTTTTTTTAAAATCCGATAAAATCAAACATTTTCGGAGCGCATTATTTATTACATCTTTCTCATTCAAGCCCAGTTTGAATAACCACTGTATTTTTTAATAAATAAGTAAAAATAAAAATCAGTCATAACTAAACTCCAAGTTTAAAAAGAAGGCAAAATACTAAGAAAGCGAGTTTTAAAAAGGCAACATAAGCGAAAACAATATCGCTTTACTGTTTGCGATGTTTAATTGTGCACATAAATGTCGCGTAAAACTCGACTCGTGACGATGAAATCGAAACGCAATGAAACGCACAATAATGTAAAGCCATTTTTATCAACAGCATGATTACTTAGCTGTAAAGTATAGGCTTAACATTACAACATCAATAGCTCATTGACCACTCTTCATAGTGAAAGTAATCGCTTCACGTACATTAAAACGACACACATTTATAATACTAAAAATAATCATAATATAGTACAGAACTACACTTCTGATGACATAAATGATCTCACATGCATCATAGAAGATACAACGGCATTGCAACATATAGAGAAGTCTAAAAGACATGCACATTAAAGACACGTCTTTAAACTATTCGTTCAGTTTTGAAAGATTAAACAACATATTAAAGTCGTCCCTTATGGACATAAAGAGTGATCGAATCCAATCCATGAGAAATACGACAAAACATGCCGCATTCAACTTCAAACCCCTCAAGAAAAACAAAAGTGTGAGATCAGGGGGTTGAAGTCCCGTAACACTATCATGACAATTCTTTAAACACAGCCGATCTAACCTCAAAACAACACTATAAAAAACATACCGAAAACACGCGTTTTAATGGAATGTCTATCAGATATACTGCATTTCACAGCGACACATGACTTCAAAGTCGGTAAACAGCACATCAAAGCAATAGCGTGGGGCCAGCGCTGGGAGAGCACACACACATACACATACACACACAGAGACACACACACACACACTGCTCTAACTCACCATCCATCCATGAGTTCGGTCCCCAAAATCCCAGTTTTCCAACAAAAGAACAAATATATTCCACTATATATCCAATTGCACGCAGTCCTCCTGTCCTCTGATGTTGTTTAGTGTCAAATGGAGATTTTAGGTTTTAAACGTAAACTTCCTCCCGCGAAGAGCACACTAGATCCCTGTATAGCGTGTGTGAATGTGCTCTAGTCTCTTATTCCAGTGTGGACTGAGCTCAGGGTTTAAGAGCGGACATCAAAGAGCGCAGCCGACCGCACGGTCCCGACAGATACATACAATAGAATTTCTCTCATTCCCGCTTTAAAACCTGCAGCTCCAGCAGCAAAGCCTTCAGTGTGAAGCTCAGCTGTAAGCTCCTCTCTCTCTTAAATCAGCAGGGGAGCTTCTCTCTGAAACACAAAGTATTGATCTCATCAAAACCAGATCCGCCCCAAAACTTCAAAAGAGTCACTTCAGACACGTATAGCTCTACATTGCGCGCGCTTGCGGTGTACAATCGGCTTTGTGGAATGCAATCTAAGCGACCCGGTTTATATTCAACGTAGGCACTATTAGATTTTTAAAACTTTTTTTTTTTAAATCCGATAAAATCAAACATTTTCGGAGCGCATTATTTATTACATCTTTCTCATTCAAGCCCAGTTTGAATAACCACTGTATTTTTTAATAAATAAGTAAAAATAAAAATCAGTCATAACTAAACTCCAAGTTTAAAAAGAAGGCAAAATACTAAGAAAGCGAGTTTTAAAAAGGCAACATAAGCGAAAACAATATCGCTTTACTGTTTGCGATGTTTAATTGTGCACATAAATGTCGCGTAAAACTCGACTCGTGACGATGAAATCGAAACGCAATGAAACGCACAATAATGTAAAGCCATTTTTATCAACAGCATGATTACTTAGCTGTAAAGTATAGGCTTAACATTACAACATCAATAGCTCATTGACCACTCTTCATAGTGAAAGTAATCGCTTCACGTACATTAAAACGACACACATTTATAATACTAAAAATAATCATAATATAGTACAGAACTACACTTCTGATGACATAAATGATCTCACATGCATCATAGAAGATACAACGGCATTGCAACATATAGAGAAGTCTAAAAGACATGCACATTAAAGACACGTCTTTAAACTATTCGTTCAGTTTTGAAAGATTAAACAACATATTAAAGTCGTCCCTTATGGACATAAAGAGTGATCGAATCCAATCCATGAGAAATACGACAAAACATGCCGCATTCAACTTCAAACCCCTCAAGAAAAACAAAAGTGTGAGATCAGGGGGTTGAAGTCCCGTAACACTATCATGACAATTCTTTAAACACAGCCGATCTAACCTCAAAACAACACTATAAAAAACATACCGAAAACACGCGTTTTAATGGAATGTCTATCAGATATACTGCATTTCACAGCGACACATGACTTCAAAGTCGGTAAACAGCACATCAAAGCAATAGCGTGGGGCCAGCGCTGGGAGAGCACACACACATACACATACACACACAGAGACACACACACACACACTGCTCTAACTCACCATCCATCCATGAGTTCGGTCCCCAAAATCCCAGTTTTCCAACAAAAGAACAAATATATTCCACTATATATCCAATTGCACGCAGTCCTCCTGTCCTCTGATGTTGTTTAGTGTCAAATGGAGATTTTAGGTTTTAAACGTAAACTTCCTCCCGCGAAGAGCACACTAGATCCCTGTATAGCGTGTGTGAATGTGCTCTAGTCTCTTATTCCAGTGTGGACTGAGCTCAGGGTTTAAGAGCGGACATCAAAGAGCGCAGCCGACCGCACGGTCCCGACAGATACATACAATAGAATTTCTCTCATTCCCGCTTTAAAACAACATAGATCGCTCCAGAATGGTCTAAAGCCATATATATATATATTTTTTTTTTACAAGCCCTATCGATGCCTCTATCCCTAATGCCCTCAATGAGTCGCTGTAAAGTGCCTGTTCGATAAAGTCCGTCAGGGAAAAGTTTCAACTGAGGCGCAAGGACCTTATCAAAGCAGATAGATCTTGAGCCGACTCCCCTCGAGCTGTGGAGCGTCAGGAGTAAGTGATCTGCAGCGGCGCGATCCTGCTGTTGCTACAGAAACTTTAAAGACACAGGCCGCTTTTTCCTCTGAGGACTTACAGTTAACCCTTTCATTGCAATTTTCAGAGTTAACCCATTCGTTTCTGCGTTCACACATAGTTTGTCAAATTTGCAATCCAAAAACCTTGTTGGAGAATTAGCCTTTTTGAGCAATGTGCTCCCTCTGGATTTTCCTTTGGGTTTTTAGAATAGCAGGTTTCGATTATAAATAGTAAAATAATGTCAGTGGTTAACACTTTTTACATCATAAAATAGTCACACCTCAAATGTGAATTAATGCTGCTTTTTTCTTTTTTCATTATATAACAAGCAGCTAACATTTCAGCTGTTATGAAATGAAGCTGAAATGGTCTCTTCAGGTTCAAAGTATCTTTTAAACACATACATTAAAGGGGTCATATGATGCTTTTCATTTGAAAGATCATTATTTTGTGTATTTGGTGTAACAGAATATGTTGACATGCTTTAATGTTCAAAAAACACATTATTTTTCACAATTTTATAAATCCAAAACCACTATTCTGAAACCCATTCAAATTTCCTGAGAGAATGCATGGTCAAATACAATTATGTGTTGGCCTACAATTTGATGTTGTGACCGAACAGCACAGTAAAACAATTCTGTTCAAAAGTGTTGTTGCTGATGAATTAAGGACTAGAAACTAGGATAGAATAGTTCACTCAGAAATAAAATTTTTATCATAATTTTATGAGTCATTTTCATATTGCTCCACTCTAGTGCTGCTTTCTTTCTACAGTGGAAAGCAATGAGAATCTCTGACCAGCTTTTTTTCTAGATGTGAGTAAATGATGACAAAAATTAAATTTTCAGGTAAACTATTCCTTTAATTAAATGTCAATACTGATATTTTAGGACAGTCAAATAGAAAAAAGTATATTGTAGACATTTACATTGACGATTAAAGGAATAATTCACCCAAAATAAAAATTCTGTCATTTACTCACCCTATGTCGTTCCAAAATATGGTTTTCTTTCTTCTGTATAACAAAAAGGAATATATTTTGAATAATGTGTTGTTGTTGTTTTTCTATACAATGAAAGACAATGGGGTTCAGTATTCTTCAAAATATCTTCTTTTGTGTTCTGTAGAAGAGAGCAGTGCATACAGGTTTTGAACAGCATGAGGGCGAGTAAACGACTGTAAACTTTTCATTTTTGGGTGAACTACCGCTTTAAGACATGATGAGGTTAGTTAAGACCAGTGTTGGGAGTAACGCATTACAAAAGTAATAATATTACAGTAGTATATATAATAAAATTTGGGTAATATTATTACTCGTTACAATCTCAGTAACGCAAGTTACAACAACATATTTTAACTCAAAATTAAGTGGTGAATTTACCAACACCGCAAAACAGCACCAGAGAAAAAATTCCTCGAGTAAAATAGTTCGTAAAATAGTTGCTATTTGTTCATAGGCTATTTGTGTGGCGCGGCACTCTACGAAAGTCCACGGAAAGGAAACCGAGATGACAGAAATAAAAGTAAACACATTGCAGTTTCGAATGATCTGTATGACCAAAAATTACGGAGTATTTTTTTGTTGTTTGTTTCCGCTGTTCGATCGCGCCGGCGCCTCACGCACACACATAGGCCTACAGCATTGCAAATGTTGCAGCCTGTTCATTATCAGAATAAAATAGTCAACCAAACGTATAGATACACTGGTTAATTTAAATAGTGCATACAGCTACAATCCGTGCCGTTCAGCCAGAGGTCGGGCCAAACACACATTTGCTCATGTGACGAGGATGTTTTTAAGCGCATGACACCACAAAAGTTCGAAGTAGGCTACTTTACAGTAGCAGTATACTGTAGTTAAAAGTCCTTCTCAACTAAAAAAGTGAAACTACCAGAAAATCTTGTCCTGCATTTTGAACTAGTGAGGGAGGACGTTCCACTGATTCCACTCATGATACTTCAAAGGCTTGAGCGCTTCCTTTGATGTTCTACATTCACTTTAAGGAGCAGGATATTACAAAATACATGCATTAGTGCTAAATGAGATGAATTTAAAGAGCAGATGTGAGGCTTTGTCTACATTGCTGTCATACCATGGTGAGCAGAACATAAAGTACATTTTAGAAAATAATCTTTAAGACACATTTTTAGAACGACAGAGTTTCCACACAGCTTTACTCACTTGCCTCTATCTTCACATCTTTCACAATAATCAAATGTTTTGTCTATGGTGGAAACCATCCACAAATGAGACATAAATTGTAATGCTCTATTCTAATTCTAATGGCAGTAGGAAGTCATTGTCCAGGCATAATCATCCAGGATGTATCATTTACAGGCTCATAGAGATTCATACGTATCGTTGGTTAACACTGCAAACTAGCTTGATGTGCAATTGCCTATTACTGATCAGACCCAGTAAAACCCAATTTAATAACTAATAATTAGAAAGAAAAAAAAGTGTTAAATTCATATCTCAAAAGGAAACACCAGTATTCGATTTTTAGTGGAACCTGTGCACACTTTATAAGTACCTTATAAAGTTAACAGCCAATGACCAAAGCCAGTTTTTTATTCCCGTTTGGTACTTGCTGAGTATTCATTTTGGAGCGGCTAAAGTGAGTGCGTCTGCTGCTCCGTGATGAACGCTGTGATCAGTAACTGCTCTCAATGACTGTATTGTCTGCCTGCTCTTTCAGCTCAGGGCTAAACTCTCAGCAGTTTGCTTTGAAGTGATTATCCCTTTATCACAAGCCTGAGCAAAGACTTTAGGGAGGCAACAGAAAATGAAGCAGATCATGATTTGCATGGCATACACAGAGCAATGACCAAGCTTTTGGAGGAAATTATGGCTTAGGCAAATAAAGAAGATCAGTCTGAGACAATATCATTAAAGGCACAGTGCATCGAGAGAGAGAGAGAAAAAAAAAAGAAAGTTCTGTCATCCTTTACTCATCGCACCTCTTTCCAAACCAATGTGACTTTCACAAAAGGATATATTAAGCAGAATTTCCAAGCGGCTCTTTTCCAAACAATGAAAACATAAAGTGACCAGGGTCTGTCAATCTCTACAAAGTGCCATAAAAGTATCTTAATAGCACAATAACAGTAATTATAATACATTATAATATATAGTAATTATAATACAACTTGTGCATTGTACTTGTACAAAAGAAACCACAATTCTGCATATTCAAATCTATTTAAGGGTTGTGGCCACTGTTAATGCATTAAAAGTAAAGTGAGTTACTACAGATTACTTTTTTCAAGTTACTTGTAAAATAATGCATTACTTATTCATTTATAAGAAAATATCGGAGTAACTAGTTACGCTAGTTACTTTATTTTCCCATTTATTGACTGACAGAACATGCATTTATTCATAGCATTTGCACAAAAACATATTCAGTATTCCTCAAAATGAATCAAAACACTGAAATGCAAATTCTAAATATGAATTCTAAAATAAATAAGCAAACCTGCAATAATTAAATATGCTAAATAACATAAATATCCTTTATGTATTTGATCCTATTTTGTTAACCAATATCTTTGCTGCTGACCTTCGATGTTCCAATTCAGCCACACTAATGAGAAAAAATGACTGTAGATAAACAACATTTGTGTTCCATTTTTATTGATTTATTGATTTATTTTATTATTGCTAAATACTGTTGAACTTTCTTCTCCTGCATCCTCTACTGTACAGATGTGAATTTACATTTCCATCAGCCTGAGTCTTATTCATTTCACTTTTGGTGTGAAAGTGCTTTTACGTTTGCCGAAAATAGGACTTTTTTTATATTAAAAACAAACGAGCAAGCCCAGCTAAGATAAGAAAAAGTAACACAAAAATAACATAACACATTGCTTTCCATAAAAAGTAACTAACGCAATGGTTACTTTTTTAAGGAGTAATGCAGTATTGTAGTAACTTTCCCCAACACTATTTGTGGCAAAACATGATAACGACACATTTAGTCAAAACTGAGATACGGCTGAAATCAGATCCCTGAGCCAATAATCTGATGTGTTTTGCTCCGCTATGTTCAGATTCATAAATGGAGTGTGAAAATTGATATCAAATGAATAAAAATTAAATAAAAATGTTTACTATGTTTTGAATTTCTAGGTCGGCATTGTTTGTATGACTTCAGAAGATTTTTTTGAGACGTTGTTGTATGGACAAGAACACATGAGTTAATTCTGCTGAACTTCTCCTTTTGTGTTCCGCAGAAGAAAGAACGTCATAATGGTTTGGTAAAATGAGTAAATAATGACAGAATTTTTATTTATGGGTGAACTCTTTAAGTGTGCATGTGTCAAAAGAAGGGATGACTGGACCCAAAAAGAGAAAGAAGTGTTAGTGTAAGACCAGTAAGTGCAGTCAGCAGAATCAGATGGCATGCAGGGTGCTGGAGTACATACAATTAAAGTGTGGCGTTAAGATGGACTTTGAAGTTAGACATGGTGTCTTACACCCCTCCAGATTAAGAAAGCAACAATTCAACTGCTTGTTATGGGCTTTTAAGAGGTTCTTGTTAGAAATGGGAGATTTAAAGAAAATAAACTTGAATTTCGTCCTGGAATGGCCTTTGAGGTGATAGCAGTGGGACGCTGTCAGGAACATGGTAGCTATTTGAAGCTGGTTTAGAAGGGGGGGGTTACTTAAGGTTATTTATCGGCATTTTTTTGTTTTGTTTTAATCCCATTTTGCGCATGACTTTAAAGTCAAACAATACATAGAAACAATGTCTGATGTTCTCTCTAATCCCTTTTTGGCCATGAAAGGGAGCACATCTGTAGAAATGATTTTCATTTCCTTTGCCAGCGGTGGGGAGAGCAGATGAAGACATCCTAAAGGTTCATCCTCATCCTATTTATTTATTCATATTTCTAGGAGGAGAGGCAGGGTTATGGCCACAGTCAAGATCAGTTGGTTTTGGCTGCTGCTACTGGTCTGACGTCACTC